TATATGTACATGCTGGAAATAATATCTTGATGGAGATTGACACCCAACACACAAAACATATGCAAGTTGAGATTTCCAAATCTTATTAGCCTTTTTCAATACCTATACAGTATAAGTAAATGATGTATATGAAAAAGTCAAAGCATAATTTATTGATCAAGAACATTTATTTCATAAACAGCTTTTCAAATTCATAGTAGACTTTATAAGGAATACTGAGCAGGTGCAAATTATTTCCATCACTACATGTTCTTGTGGATGAAATAATTCTGAAAATACATGTATGAAAAAATCAGGATATAGGCCTACATGTATACATACCATTTATTTAGAGTAAATTGGTGTTTAAAATTAAATTAAATTCAACACAATGTATTGAAACATGGAGCATTGAATGCATAATTAATTGAAAAATAAATTAAATGCAATTCTACTGTTATATTTTATGATTTTGCCAGGAATATTCCTTGTTTTATAATAGTGGCTAATATGGAGCATACCATTTTCCTTAAATGATGGATTAACTTGCTGCCTGAATGAATCCATAGATCCAATTCTTTGGGAATAGCTGCAACACATTATAATGCTATGAGACTACCAAATGAAATACATTGTAGAATAAAGTGACATTACACACACAAAACAAACCATGATAGACAAGATATTAAATAGAAACAACGTTGTGTTACAAAACTTTTCTGGGAAATTAAAACCTCTGACATTTACTAGACAAAGTAATTAGTATATGAAAAAAAAAATTCTTTCATTTTTACCAAAATGAAAAATAGATATAATCACACCTGCATGCTAAAAAAATGTGAAATGCTTTAGAAGTATACATACCCTGTGGAGAAATGGAAGGGATTTTTATTTATTCATCCTAAAGACTGGAACTCTTGACAGCTAGCTACAATAGTAGAAGTTTTATGTATCATATAGTTTACTTAAATCAAAAATAATGTATAAATTACAGAATTTCATTGACTTGACATGCAATCAAACTAAAAAAAAATATTTTATTTCCCCCATTAATTTAGAAATTCTATAAAATTACAAACATAGATTTAAACTGTAGGTTTTGTTTTCAACATAATGATACAGACAATATTTCATAAATATATTATGTAGCATGTTTGTGTACTGTCAGAAAGAAAAAACAACATAACATCTTTAGTAATCATTGTCAACTCGTTTACTGAAACAATGAAACTTTAATTTAGTGTAAATCTGTATTACTGTTGTCACAGTTGATCCCCATTATTACACATAATGTCTCAAAGAATATAAGCGAATTGACAAGAACTCTGTACCATATATTTTAAAAAGTGTGCAACTTTGTATGTGTATGTTCAATGTTGGGACTGGGGGGGGGGGGGGGGCATAATATAAACACAATCGCAATACAACTGCATTAGGTTTTCACTGACTGTGATAATACATGTAAATGATCATGTACACACTCGCTATCGGTTTTTTCCTATGATGTTAACACAAGAATATCTAGATATTGTACATACATGCGCATGCATACCTGGGCTAAATGTACTGCAGAGATGGATCTAGGGAGCTGATGATGAACGTCTCAGTCTTCTATTATCTTCCGAAATAATGTCCTCAACAAAACAATTTCTTTGAATTCTCTTTGAATGGAATTAATCTGTTTAATAAATTTGATAAATAATCTTTTTTTGGAATCCAAAAGTTTGTTATAACAAATAAAATTCAGAATAACGAATTTTAAAACTTGTAAAAAATAGAATTCTCTTAATTGATATCATTTCTTTTATTTGTCAGAAGGAATAAAAATATTAACACTAATTCAACAAACTGTTATAGTGCATTCGAAAATAGTTTTCATAGGTTCTAAATGGGTTTCCGTTCCTAAAAGAAAAAATAACTCTAATTTGAATTTACTGACATCTAGCCTAATTAATAACTTATACCCTAACTGCCGCCTCTCTCATAAACTGTCTGGCAGGATCGTCCCAGATAGCAGGGACTGTTAAGACCCAGCCTATGTCAGCTTCTCTTATCCCTGCGTCTTCTCGTTCTAGAGAATGTAGTAGGTGACTCTTCAGGAATTTAATGGCTGCTGAAAACACATCTAAAGCCACCATCTCCTTTTCCGTCTATAGATTTTATTTTTAAGGCTTTTGAAAGTGGTTCCTATGAGAAATGTGTACAACATCTTAAGCAATTGCAATTGAAGACATACAGTCTGCTTGTTAAAACTGTTCTATATGAAATCGCATCTTCAATATTCAAAATAAATTAAACCTAAAACTTAACAAGAGGCACAGGGGCCACATCGCTCACCTGAGCAACTGGCTAGGTAAAAGTAAAAATTAGTTCAGTATTGATTGATTGATTGTATATTGTTCAACATCCCTCTCGAGAATTTTTCACTCATATGGAGACGTCACCGTATGCCAGTGAAGGGCTTCAAATTTTGACCTTTATGCGGCACTCAGGGCCATTGAGCAGAGAGGGATCTTTATCGTGCCAACGCCTGCCGCTGACACGGAACTTCGGTTTTTAAGGTCTCGTCCGAAGGACCCGCAATTAACTTTCACTTCAAAGTGTCGAGCGCATAGCTCATTATGTTTTAATTGATTAATATTTTAAAGTCTCATTAAATTGATTACGAACTGCTCTCATAGAGCCGTTGTCATGCATTTTTTTACATAAATGTACTACAATCACAGGCACACACGCTCGAAAATATCAGGAATTCAACCATATCCGCTTAACTATCAATAACATTATGTAGCTATTGTCTCTACTATTTTGAAAAATGCTGGGAGCAAGTTGTGCACTGTTAGTTATTTTTCTGTAATTTAACGATATTTCAATGCGTATAATGTAAATACACGAGGTTTTTTAAGAGACGGCTACTTGTGTATAATTCCCGTGCATAGGAAAGCTGCTCCTAGCACTTTTTGTGTTAGAAATTTGACTTAAGGTACGTCACTCCTCAGCTTTTTAGAAAAGTTCACGCAGAAGCTTTTACTTCAAAACTACTTATCAAAATTCAATTTTTATAACATATTTATATTCAACAAAGTAAATTTTTTAACATTCAATGAAAAAACTGCTCAAAAATCAACAAAGAAACAAGATTTATTAGGGACTATTTCTTTTGGTGGAAGGATATTTAGCAGAAAATTCTGCAAATCTGCACATTTATAAAATTTAATGTAATAGAAATTTAGCCTCACATACTTTTACTTGGAGAATATTTTCCGTTTTGATATTGCTAAAAATATTTAATATAGGTCTTAATTTATATTTTTAGACTAAGTTTTACACCATCTCTCAACAAACTTTCCCAAAAAATGAAAATATATGAAAGAAGTCAAGGTCAAATTTACACCATTTTTAGCCTGAAAATCACATATTTTGACAAATATTTCAAAATTAACATCACTGACCCCACCTTTTTCTTTCAATATTTTAAACTACTTGATACTTGTGACTGATCAGCACTCAAGTCGTAAAAAGTTTGATATAAGAAATTTTTTATTGCCTATTAAGTTTTTCAATACTCCAAATATGTTATTTTTAAGTGCAAAAAGGTCAAACAATAATTTACGCACATTAATTTGCAGGATTTTTTTAATGTTAAATATTATTCAAACTATTTCACGTAAAATAAGATTATATTTATTGCCTTGCTTACATCTAATCAAATATAACAAGGGTTTAAGTAATTAACCAGAGATGAAATTTAAGTGCAAAAAGGTCAACTTAAATGTACCGTAGATCAGTAGGATGCACACTGACCCCCTATTTTCTTTGCGATTTTGAGTTACACTTTATGATTACTTATCAAAAATATACTTTTCAAAAAAAATCCTTGATATAACAAACTTGCGGAGTGACTTACCTTAAAGAAAACACAATCAATTTCTTGGTGAAAAATTATCCATTTATTGTTGAACTTTTACGAATGTTGTATCCGTACATATTTTTTTCTCATTTTAACGATGTCTCGTGACATACAGCTGATGACGTAAAGTCGCTTTGGCCGAACTCGGTTGAGACCCAATGCATACATTTGCATTAGTACAATTCCCATTAAATTTAAACTCATGCTAATAATTAAGATATCAAAATTTGATTGATTTTCTCGGGATATTTTAAGGCATATTTCCTATAGGCGTCCTTTAACCTAGCTACGAAAGGATTCTTCTACACAAGTTTTTATTTTTCCTGGCCCAGTTAATCTTGAGAAGATTTTTTAAAAATTTCCTATGTATTCCAATGTTAAACTTGATCCCCACTGTGGCCAAAACATACACCCGGGGGTCATTATTTAAATAAATTTGAATCTACACTAGGATGAGGATGATTCAACAAGAGTTTCCTCTTTCTTGGCCCAGTACTTTTTAAAAAGAAGATTTTTCTAAAATGCCATTATTTTTCACAAATTCATAATTTTCTCCCTTTGAAAATGGCGTGGCCCTTCATTTGATCAAATTTGAATTTCCTTAATCCAAGGATACTTTTTGGCACGTTTGTTTGAAATCGGTCCAGTGGTTCTGTAGAATGTATAAAGTTAACGACGACAGCAACTCCAACACCAACAACAATGACAACGACAGACAACGGACAAATTTTGTTCAGAAAAGCTCACTTGAGCCTCCGGCTCAGGTGAGCTAAAAATTCTAACCCCTAAAATTTCAACCAATTTCAACTTTTCCTTTCGTCAAATATTTCTAATTTTATTTATCTTTCTGCATTTAATTGAAAAAGGATTAAATCTCAGAATTGATTAAAAAAAAAAAAAAAATAAAAAAAAAAAACAAGGACATTAAAAAGTAGAAATGAGCTAAAGGTTTTTCCTTTAACAGGGTGGTCTTGTGGAATTAAAGAATTACGTCAATATAAACTGAGAAATTCCCGGCCCCTTAATAACAATCCTGACTTAAAATATCTTTACATGTTTTACTGACTAAGAGAAGAACTTGCTTCTCTGTTAAAGAGTGACATCCTGAACCTCTTGAAGTAATACCACTCCTGTTGTTCCTCTTCCTCTGACAGTTCTCAATATTTATCCTCCGCTTCGTAACCAAACGAGTCGAACACTTTGTCTTTACTGAACAGAACACAGGTTGGGGTCTTTAGGGTCAAGAGACCCCCGGAACCTGATGTCCAGTTGTTTGACCTGATCTTCAAAGGGTCGTTCTCGTATTCATGTTTATAGGAAAATGCAAAGCCGCTGTAGGTGGAACCTAAGTCAATGGCTGCCACCAGCAGTTTATCGGTAGAGGGCATGTTCTCTGTGTCCCAAGTCTGAAAGCGTAAAATACATCTATTGAGAGGATTTTTTGACCAAGAATCGATTGTCAAGTGATTACAGTAAATAATGAATGAAGAGAAGAAAGAAACCACAAATTAACATAGTATCAATTTCTTGGTGTACAAATGATGTGATCATTGTGCTAATATAATGTGGGCACTTGACATCACTTACTTGTGCCTCCAGCATCTCTTTTGTTGAAATCATTGGTTTCTTCACTTCGTAGCCACGAAAAAGATCCCTCCCTGCTCAATGGTCCTGAGTGCCGAGTATAGGACAAAATTTGCAGCTCTCCATCGGCAAGTGGTGGCGTCTCCATATGAGTGAAAAATTCTCGAGAGAGACGTTAAACAATATACAATCAATCGATCAATCTTTTCAGTTGTTCGATTACTTGGATTAAAGTTGACTGTAGAACCTTTAGTTCGCAATGCGAGAACAATAAGTGACAGAGTTGTGTCCTAACAGCACTGTCCCTTTGAGGACCGTGTGAAAATGCGAAAACATATGTCTTTAAAACTGACTTAATTTGATGACATATATGTTTCTTCATATTTCAGAATATTTTTTTTCTTTTCAGCTATTCGCATGCTTGGATAAAAGTTGGCTGTAGTTTTAGTTTTATTTGGCAATGCGAGAAGAAATGGTGACGGGTCTGTGTCCAAACATCACTGCCCCTTTGAGAACTGCAAGCCCTTGATCGGGGGGAAAATAACCCTCATATTTGGAAAAGACTGCTTGGTCATGTCATGTAGAATTGGTGACTCAGAAAAAATCTCCCACCACTATAACATTGCTGGTTCCTGAGATTTCCGGTTTCTTCATTAGGTCTTTAACATGATCCACAATTTGATCTCCTGCCACTTCAAACAAGCTCTTTATCACTTCTGCTACGACTCTGATTTTGTCCCCTACCCAAGTCATTTTTCCCGAGAATTTGGTATTCTCTATTGCCTTTTGGATATCCTCTCCCGTGTCCTCTTCGAAAGTCTCCATCAGAGAAATTGGAATTTTCAAGGTGACCTTGCCCTTTGTGTTAGCAGTAATAGCACGCTTATTGATTTCGAATTCTCTGAACATGTCCTCATAATCAGCTCCATATGAGCGGGAAAACTCAAGGATGATGGATGCTCCTACTTTTTCGATCAACATCTGTTTGAAGGCCTCGTCTATCCGAGTCCCTCCCCACGCCCCTGCTTTAGCTTTGTACAGCACCTTTAGCCTAAGATCGGGTTGTACTTCATAAACGGTGACATCTACTATTCTTCCTTTAAAATACAGAAGTGTTTTAAAACTGCCAAATATATCTCATCAAATTTGAATAAGAAGTTTATTTATTGCCCATTTCCATTTTAAAATATTTTTACGAAGGTATTTCATAATGAAGGGACTTTTGAAATAATTTAAAATGAAAATAAAGGTAAAATTCTTTTGAATTATGAAATAATTGCTGAATTATTTTTTATCTCATACTGATACACAAAATCAATACAAAAGTAAAAACTTTTTCGGTCATGCATGGAAAAAGTTAATACTGTAGATCACTATTGATCAATTTTCGCGACGCCTTTTATTTGCAAGGCAGAGACGAACTCTTTCTTAACAAGAAATCTCTAAAAAATCTTTAGATTTACTAATAAACACGAGAATGATTTGTCGCCAGCATACTGTCTTGCCTAACACATGGTCTTTCGAGCTATTCAGATTTTTAACTTGTCTATTTTAAGCAAACTAAGCTTTACTCGTGCCTGTATTTGATATAATGAAATTTCATATCATTTTTAGAAATATAATCTGAAAACTTTATTAGCCGAAAGTTTGTTAAATCTGGAATTAGTTGTCAGAAGAATGCAAACGTTTTACTTTTCGCAGTACAGTTAAGGTGCGCAATGGAAAAATCGACGGAATTTTGCATTTAAAAATGTATTCGTAATCGGGATGGCGATTATTTTTAGTATATTACTTATATCGGATAATTGTAATCATGCATTAATAAGTACATATCGAGGACGATTATATTTTGTATTTAAACTAGTCCACGTGATGCGGCAGTCACGCGATTTTAGCACATTGACTTGAAGTATTGATGTCACATATCAATCACTAGTGCAAGGGCATAACCAAGTTAAATTTCCAAGTTTAGTATATAAATATTTTTAACACGCATTGTAGTTTCTAAAAAAAGTGCTGCGATCCTGTCTAAATTCTGCAATTTCATTGTTAAAATTATACTTGTATGACCGAATGCTATATTTTTTCCTGGTCAGCAGCATGAAATATTGATATAATTAAATTGTTTTTAAGATTTCATCAGGATCGCAGCATTTTTCAGATACCTTAATAGTTCTATAGTTGAAATGTGAAAGCTTACTTTGATCCATAGAGTGTATGCCCTTGCACTAGATCAATTTATTAAGACCCCCATATTACCCTCTGATGTATTCTGCATATAAATATACGGCAGTGTCAATTAAATACGTTATGTACAGAAAATATATTAATAAAATAGTGAAGAAGACATTAAATTCAAGATATTGGCCCATCGAATATCTGTAAATAATCTTTTATTTAATTAGAGAATACATATTTTGTTGAGAAAATATTACTTGATCTGTCTCTCACTGCATACAAACTACGTCACGTTGTAAGAAATGACGTCATATTGACAAGTGTATTGCGATCAGTGACTTGTTTATAACTTGTTATGTGGGATTTAACTAATGACAAAACAACATGCTATAGTAAGTTTTTATGTAGTTTGATGATTTCTTACGGGAAAATTAGCAGATGAACTTATTTGTGGTATTTTAAAGAAATGTTGTATGACGTATATTGTGTATGATGTCATAGTCAAGTTTTTCCAATAAATCAGGCTCCGCCTCCTTTTTGTAACCTTAACTGTGCTGCGTTTTGTATTTATGGAGTCAAAGATGTATCTTAAATAATATTGATTCTGCAAGATTCCATTTAATTCGATACAGTGCTAGTACATATGGGTTTTTTATAGAGTGAAATTTTTCCTTAAACGTTTACCGTCAGTAATTTTTTTATCTCACCTTCTTCTCGAACATGTATCTTCATATTTTTTATATCAGTATTCTGTCATTTTGACTTAAACTTTGTTATTATAGGTAAATGCCTTATTTTGTCTTAAAGCAGATAAAATACTTATGAAAACATATTCTCCCTGCTCGGTTACATGTAAATAATTCAATAAATAGTCGTACTGTACTCTCTACTAACTTTAAAGGCAGTGCCCATATCATAACAACAGAATTTAAGTATTTGAAAAAAAAATACATGAAAAAAGTATTGCCAAACAGGGAACGAAAGGATAGAAAACTGAAAGTGTATATTTAATAAACAATTAATTTTAACTTTATAATTCGAACATGGATAGGTGGAACAATTTTAATGTCACAATCACTTTTATTCAAGTATTTTACATTTGATAATTTAATTTCGCAGTTTATTATTTTTGGTAATAATCGAGTTTGGAATAAAGAGGTCTCACTGCACAGACGCTATCCTTATTAAATCACTGTATCATAATTAGGGTAAACATATATATTTCTATAAACTTTGTTTCATTCCGATATTATATAGAGACTGGACGAATTTAATCTATTTCGACCACTTTGCAAGAGATATTAGTCAATGGCCTTGATAAAAAAAAATTCCGGTAGTCAATTCGTATGCAATAAAGTAAAAATTTTTTTTAAGAACACTTGACTTGTAGAAGAGACGCTTTTACGAATGCTTTAATAATAATATAACAGGCGTTCACAGTACAGGATGCTTTGGACCTTTGTTGGGCCAACAATGCTCCTTATGTTGGGCCACCGCATGCATTCAACATTGGGCCATCGGTAATTTGCTCATCGGCCCTTAATCTATCCAACTTGTTGGCTTATTGTTTGGTCGATGTAACAGTTAATATTGGGCCACTGTTGGGCCAATGTATTCTTTCAATGTTGGGCAAACGTCATTTTTTTTTACAGTTGGGCCACTGTAAGCAATTAATGTTGGGCCAACGGTAATTTGCTCATCGGCCCTTAATCATTCCAACTTGTTGGCTTATTGTTGGACCAACGAACGGATATTATTGAGCCATTGTGGGGCCACTTATTCTTTCAATATTAGGCAAACACCATTTTTGGACCAACGTTGGTTTGTATCTTATTGGCTCTCCATCATGACAACTCATTTGCTCTTCACTGGCTGGCCATTTGTCCTCCAAATTGAATAACAAACTATATATAATAAGGTTATAGTAGTTTTGTAGTACAGTTTAATGGTAATGCTAGATTAATAGTTTAATACATATTCACAATATCTCAGAGATATCATCAAGAAGTATTGCATTGTAAGTAGCTCTACATTAATTTAAAAAAGAACTGAGGAAAAAGAAATCATAAATATAAAATTACATTATAACATACTAATATTTTATTGCTCAATGACCGGTCACGGTAGATTAGTGGTAGAGCGTTCGCTTCGTGATCGGGAGGCCCGGGTTTGATTCTCGATCGCGGCTCCGCGTCAAACCTAAGACTTAAACATAGGTAGTGATTGTTCCTTCGCCAAGCGCTCGGCACTAGAAGTGAAAGTCACGGGTCTTTCGGATATGACCTTAAAAACGTAGGTCCCGTGTCACGGTAGGCGTTGGCACGATAAAGAACCCTCACTGCTCAATGGCCCTGAGTGCCGAGTATAGGTCTAAATTTGAAGCCCTTCACCGGCATCGGTGACGTCTCCATATGAGTGAAAAATTCTCAAGAGGGACGTTAAACAATATACAATCAATCAATCAATATTGCTCAATGCATGAAGAAAACATTAATAAAGAACAAAAAGTTGATGCTCACTTGAAGCGATGCATGTAGGGTTACATGACTGTACATATGCTCCCTCTCTGATGTAAATTTATGCACAAGTTCAGTAAACTGCAGATATCAATAAGCACGTCTTAAAATAAAGAAAGCCCTCCTGTCCTTAAAATAATGCTAAAATGAATCCCGCAATTTTGTTTACTTACACGAAAAATGTTGCTGGCATCTGCATCATGTTTGTTACCGACAAACACCCACAGAAAGGAGAGAACAACAGGTATGCCACAGTATATAACAGAAAAAGTTAGGCACTGCCACGTTTATTCAATCTGATCCCTCTCCTAAGTCTGCTCTTCTCTCTAC